AGATATGCATATACGTGTACATTACATGTATATTATATTTAAAGGTTACATATACGTTTATATTCACCACCCGATATTTGTAAACCTACACGGCATTCATGGAAACATCTGTATATTATATTATAAATCCACACACCAGAGTAGTATTATTAAAAAAAGAATTTATGTCTCTCAGACCAAGAGAAATGAAATCTGTAAGAGTCAGCCTAGATAATTGGAAAATAGTGTTTTAGTTACCGATAAGAGCAAAAGCGTTCAGTGTAGACGGGCTTTAGAAATCTTTGGCATGGTGAATCTTGGTTTGCCGAAAATGGGCTTGGTGTGCTTCTCACCAGGGTGTAAGAATATTAAATCCCTATACTAAAAGTACTAACCCCCCTCCTATAATACTCCTACCTCTCCTTCGGCACTCGAAAGTAATAATAATCATAATAATTGTGTGAGTTGATGTCGCAGTAATAACGATTGCGAATACGGTCGTTAGTAGTAATAACTAAAATTATGATAGTTAATGCAACGGTAATAATAGCTATAATCATATTAATTGCAATTATAATAGCAAATATAATAGCAAATTGTAAAATGGTAATATTACCAATAATTACAATAAAAAAATTATTATAATAACTATAACAATAAATAATAGCACCCGCATAAGATAATTGATTACATGGAATAAACGAACAATTCCCTTATGAATATTCTAGAACTAGAATAAGAATTCCTGTTAAGACAACCAAAAAATTAATACTTTTTTAAAAAATAAAACCACTAACTATAGTTAGTGGTTTTTTTTTTTTAAAAAGTTTTGTGGTATACCACAAACAATAACTAAAACATAATCCCCGTGAAAAACGTCAAAAAAACACACCTAAGGCATTACCAAACTCTCCTGAGTAAACCTAAAAGTTTCTGATACGTGAATAAAACAATAGATCATTGAAAACTAACATCGATACAACAATAGAAGTTCATGAAACAGAAATCTAATATTCATATTAGGAGGGGTCCATAATCGTCTTTTTTTAGATTTTTTATAGTTTAACCAGTTTTTCTTATTTAGTTTTTCATGCTGATTCTGAAAATCATAATCATTTTTTTTTCATTTTTATTATTTAGCCTTCTACTTTGATTTTAATAAAAGTTAATATATTGACAAAAGAAGGGATTGTTAAAAATAGATGAAATTATTATTATCATTAAATATAAGAAAAGTAGAAAACTAGAAATCTTTTTCTGTTCAATTTATCAATAATATACCTTATCATTTATAAGTAACAAAAAAAACTAAGCATTATATATGAAAATAATTTATACAGTTTGTTATTTACTATTGAAAATGGAAAATAACTATAAAAGTCATCATATGTGATAGAGGTTGCTGCGTGAACTTTCCTTTAGAACATTTAGGTTATGAGCGTGTTCTTTGGTAGACATAAGATGGAGGTTTGTATTTTTATATCAACAATCATCTATTTAAACAAAATAGACCTCCGCGACAATGAGCTATATTGTATCCCTAAAATAAAGAACCTCATTTTTCGAACTTTTTTTTCATTTTAATATATCTTTATCTATTTCAATAATGTCTAGTTCACAGCTAAATGGGCTGCCTTGTAACTTTAATCAAGCTAAAATAGAACTCATCTTGCACATCTGATGTAAAGTTTGCTGCTCTTCCATTGTTATCCATTTGTTTTTGTAGCTGGTTTAAACTATATTCCATAGTTTCAACTTTTTGGACAAATAACTGGACAATAATTCTCCAAAATATTTTTAAACTGCGCGAACCTTAATTTTTTATATGGTTTAAATAATTAAGTATACAACTACTGTTGAAATTAAATGGTTTTTTCCAAAGCTTTTCAACTGCAACAACTTAATTAGAAAGTTAATTCTAATCATATTCCATAATCAACCAAACACATAATACTTTTATCTTTTTTGAAGTCCTGAGGCTAACTTTTGCCAAAATACTCTAGCAAAAATAATACAATCATTCAACCTCTTTGAGGTATACTTATAAACTGCTTCAAAATTTCAAAATTTGATCACCCTGTTTGTTTTTTTATAAAGCCTTTTATAGGTAGCGGTGTTCCTTTAGCCTGCTTATCTTTAGAATTGTTAAAACTTTAGAGTTTAACTGAACTTTTACTGACTGGCATTTTAAAAGAAGATTTATTCTAGACTTCATTAAAGAAAAGTGAAAAAAAAACTGAAACCTTGAATAGCCTTTTTTGATAGCTTGAATAACAATTAAAATTAATAAAAAAAGGAAATTAAGATATTTTGAAGCAATCTGTCTTTTTGATTACTTAAAACGTTTTGTTTAGAAAGAGACTTCAGATAAAACTTTTTTTTTGAAGCAATCTGTCGTTTTACTTAAAAAACTTTTAAAACGTTTTTTTAGAAAAAGACTTCAGATTAAACTTTGTTTTTCTAAAACGCAACGATTAAAAATCAAATTTATCCAATCAAAATTTGATAAGCATAAATTTGAAAGAAAAGTTGCGTAACTTTATACGCAAAGAAACTTTTGCAAAGACTTTGATTTTTTATATCTTTAAATTTTTAAAATAGAAGTAGAAGGTCAACCATAAAAAATTAGCAAAAAATGAACTGTTTTTTAAACTTTTCTTAAAAAATTAATTAAGTATAACTGGTTAAACAAGAAATATAGAATTTTGGACCCCCCCCCCCTATTCATATGTACGCACATTTCATTTTCATCAGATATCTGACGTAAGCAAGAAGACAACAACCCTAGCGTTCATTCGTAAATCTTTAACTTTTAAAAAGAAAAAACTTTGAAGAACCTTGTTTTGTTTTTATCCTATCATTTATATTTTCGTTTCCTCGCGGCTGTATATATTTTAAACAAATCTTGAATACGTAATCTTACAACAGAAAACAACTCACCACAACACCCAACATAATGGTAAGAAAAACATTTCCTATAGTAAACTATCTTATTTGTTAAACAGCATTCACCATTACCACCACACTGTAATTCGCCACTTATTACACTCACACTTTACCATAATTCACCATTGATATCACTTCGTACCACTCTCATGAGAGTGGTACGAAGTGATATCAATGGTGAATTATAGATATCTTGGGTTCTTAACACATCTTCTGGTGAGTCCGGATACTATAATAAATTCTTAGTGTGTAAAATGTGTGCACACATTTTACACACTAAGAATTTATTATAGTATCCGGACTCACCAGAAGATGTGTTCAGAACCCAAGATATCTGCGAAGCGCTAGAAAAAAGGAAGAACACCACTATTATATCCATTAAAAACAACGATGCTAACAAGAAAGTCTACACTGGTCAACCGGGACAGGATACTGGAAGTAAAAGCAAAGACGGGTCTATGCTAAGAAAAGACCCATAAACCGAAAAACTTAGCGATAGCCAAATGCTAGAAACGATAGGATTTAATATAAACCCTAAGATTCTAAATTTATTAATTATTCCCTAGCACCTAACCCCTTACCTTACTTTGTAACCTTAATATGATGTGTATGGATATATACATATATATATATATATATATATATATATATATATATATATATATATATATATATATATATATATATATATATATATATATATATATATATATATATATATATATATATATATATATATATATATATATATATATATATATATATATATATATATATATATATATATATATATATATATATATATATATATATATATATATATATATATATATATATATATATACAGGGACTACTTAAAGTCCGGGACGCACGGCATGGAATCGATGTGAAATCGACGAGAGGGCTGACTTTAGCGCCTTCAATATACCAACATGTAATGTTAATAGCTTAAATAAAAGAGTGGTATTTAAAGATTATTGATAAGCTGCAACAAATGTTGATTCATATAGATTATATAATGTATTAACTTTAATTAATTTATTTTTTTAAGCCTTTTTATAGTACTTTTAAAGTAGTAAAAGTATTTTTATTAAGATGTTTATATGATGATTGTATTGCAATAATAAATACTACTTAAATATTTTATGACTACTTAAATATTTATGACTATTACTTACTTATTATATTATGAATATTACTTACTTAATTACTTAATTATTATATTTATGAGTATTACTTGCTTAATTATTTATGACTACTTAAATATTTTATGATAAAAAATGAAAAACAGTAACATACTATTACAGTACGAAGATTTGGCGCTACTCGACTTTCTCCCCCCCCCTGTTTTTATGATTGATTTTTATAGAGTATATTATACTGATTCTAAATCATATAAAAACATAGGTCTGAAAACTTGAGGAAAGTACTCTAATTTGATGTTAAAGTATAAAAATCCACATTAAAAAACGCTAATATTAGCCATCTTTGTCATACTCGGTTATAATAAAATTCTTTTTCAATAAAAACTTTGAAAAACCCTGGTTTCTATCGACGCTTCAATTTAAAACGCATTTTTTATTGATTTCCTGCCCCAACCAAACCCTGACCAAAATCATGTACATTTAATTGCGCCAATTCCTATTTGTCAGTAGATATGTACATTTATTTACGCCAATTCCTATTTGTCAGTCGATGTATGTATATTTAATCGCGCCAATTCCTATTTGTCAGTCGATACATGTACATTTGGTTGCGCCTATTCCTATATGTCAGTTGATGTATGTACATCATAAAATATAAAAACAACAATAAAAACCGGGTCGTTAGTTAAAAAATTAATTACCTAAATTTTAAAAACAGTGTTAAAATGTTTTTAAAAAGATGGTGAAATATTAGCGTTTTTTAATGTGGATTTTTATACTTTAACATCAAATTAGAGTACTTTCCTCAAGTTTTCAGACCTATGTATTTATATGATTTAGAATCAGTATAATATACTCTATAAAAATCAATCATAAAAACAGGGGGGGGGGGGGGAGAAAGTCGAGTAGCGCCCGAAGATTTTATTTGATTTTGAGTATAATTACGTTTTGATGCAAATCAAGTCTTCAAACTGTTACTAACAGTTTTAGGGGTACTTGAGTTACTTTACACTAAAGTAACTTGAGTTACTTTAGACTAAAGTAACTTTTTTAGTACTAAATAAAGTTGAGTACAAAAAAACATAAGAATGTTAAGTTATTATTGTACTAAACTAAACCTATTTTTAAGGTTATAATATTTAAAAAATATTAATTTTATTCTCTATTTAAAAATAAATTTATAAAACCATTACAGACATGCCTAAAAAATGCTCAGTAGGTAATTGTCGTGGAAATTATGACAGTGCAAATGAGAATGTTAAAGTTTACAAATTTCCAAGTGACAAAGAATTATGTGAAAGATGGTTAGCAGCTTTACCAAATAAAATTCAATCACCAACAGACAATATGGGTGTTTGTGATTCCATCAGATCCTCCTTCACTATTTCCTGGGTGTTTTCCTTCAATGTTACGACAAACAGGCAAAACATTCCGTCAAACAAATTTTGAAAAAATTTCAATTGAATCAAGAAACTCATTCTGTGATGAACTCGATTCTTTCAACAAGATTGATAAAATAAAAATTTTTGAAGTCAAACAGTTTCTTACAGATGTAAAGCAGTGGTAAGAAAAGTTCTAATTAAATATAATTTTTGTAGGATTTTTTTGTGTTAGTATTACTAATAAATAATTCTTTTAAATATTTCAAGGTTTCCTGATTATTTTGTTGTTACAAATGCATTGGATCTGTCTGTTTTTAATATGACATTTTCGCGTCCACCAGAAACTAATATTTCTGTTACAATCAAAACTCACACTCAACAGTTACATGCTTATGTCAAACACACACAAATTCATTGCAATGATATTTTGGGGTTTTCTCACAAACTCACTCGGTGGTCGCAGTTAGAAGCAATTATTTCAAGAATGAAGTCATCTAAACCTGAATTAAGCGAGGAACTAAAACATTTATTGCAAGAGATTGAATGTACATATGGAGAAAAATCTGATGAAATAAATTTTTTGATTGAACAACTACAACTGCAGATGATGCCTGTGAGAGGCAAGCGTTACTCTACGCTAGTTGTACGACGAGCTTTAGAACTATACCTTTCTTCAAGATGCTGTTATCGAATTCTTTGTGATACACTTTCACTCCCACATCCAAGAACTCTTAAACTAAAATTAGGCAGAATCGGTGAAGTAGGAACACAAAAGGAATGTGAAGAATGTATTAAAACCGTGTTTGAAACATTAACTATTTCGGAAAAACGTTGCTGCCTGCTATTTGATAAAATGTATGTGAAACCAAGTATACGTTTTCGTGGATGTCATTTAATTGGTTATAGTGAAGACAATCCTGCTGAAATTGCCAAGACAATTCTTTGTTTTATGATTAAGCCAATGTTTGGAAAACCAGCTTTTGTGTGTCGTATGGCCCCAGTTTATAAGCTATCTGGCATTTTTGTACAAAATTTAATTGTTGAAATCACACAGACAGTTGCTAAACTTGGTGGAGAAATTTTATGCCTTATTTCAGACAATCTTCCCACAAATCGTAGCATATATCAATTTTTTGCTTTAAGTTTAAATGAGCTATGGCTTGGTAATATTTGCAACCAAAGTATAATAATGCTTCATGATCCAGTGCACTTGTTTAAATCAATTCGAAATAACTGGCTTACAGAAAAAACTGGAACAATTCATCTGACACTAAATAGTCAATTATTTAAAGGGTATTGGAAAGATTTGGTAAGTTTATATGAAAAAGAAAAAAATAATGTTATCAAGTTGACAAATCTTTCATACAAAGCTATTCATCCAGGTGTAATTGATCGACAAAATGTCACCCATATGTGTGCTGTTGTTAATGAGAAGACTGTAGCAGCCCTTAAAATTTGTGATTTTAAAGAGACAAGCGAGTTCCTTGAAAGAATATTATTGATATGGAATTACCTTAATATTAAACAAGAAGGTATGGACATACGTTTAAATGATCCAAATAGAGCTTCATACAAAAATGTAAATGATAAACGACTTCAAGAGATTTTGACATTTGCTGAAGCTGTTGCAAAAATGCCAGGAGGAAAGGGCTGGAAGCGGAACAAATCATTCACTAGTGAAACGAAAATTTCTTTGTCGAATATGCTTTACGGAATTGTAGATTTAATCCAAAAATTGCTGAATGAAGATCATCAATATGTTCTTCCCAGAATATTTCAGACAGATCGGTTAGAAGGAGAATTTGGAATATACAGGTAGTTAAATAATTCCTTACCTATTTATGATCAGATTGATATTGTTGTTATTACATTTAAGCAGGGTCAGACTGGCACTGAAGGGCCCAGGGGCAAAAACAAATTAAATCCTTAATCACATATTTTTTGGTTATAAGTAGAAATAACTTTTATTTAGAAATAACTGGTATTTTGTAACATCAAAAATGATATTTCATAGAAATAACTATTTTTATGTATTTTTTATGTATTTTATGTATTTTTTATGTATTTTATTAAATTTTTATGTATTTTTTGTGGCAGGGGCTCTGGGGTAAATCCCTCCCAACCCCCTCACCACTCTGACCCTACATTTAAGAACACTAATTTTCGTATGTATCTTTAAATAAAATTCAAATTATATATAGTTTAGATTTTTTTATGCCAGGCAACTTTGTGGAGGCAGTTATCATGTTTCAGTTGAAGAAGTTAAAAATAGTCTTCGTTTACAACGCCTGAAGTTGTTTAGTAAATTGGATGCTATGGGTGTACCTATTTCTCAATGCTCAATTATTCAATCAGAGTGTTGTCAATTAGATCTGAATGAGGATGACATTAGTTATCTTGATACATCTGTCTCTTCAATTGATGCAATTTCCGAAGAAGAAAATGCTGCCCTATATTACATTTCGGGTTATGTCCAGCATAAATTTTTACCAAGTATTTCCGTATCTGGTACCTTTGTTACCAATGCATCTGAGTTTACTGAGTTAGTATCTCGTGGTCGACTATGTCACCCTACTGAGGATCTATTTCAATATGAGAGATATGCGTATTCTTTTTTATTTTATTACCTAATGCAGAGATGCGGTTCCAGTGCGTTAGATACATTTCTAAACTTTTTATATATTTCTATACAGCTTTACCTTTCGATTTACAAGCATTACCAATCAACACAGTTGTTTCCACCATTTTGAATTGTTTTTTCAAGGGTCTAACGAAATTGAATGAATCGTCAGACAAAGTTTCTTTAAATATTGAAGACCGCAAAGTTAAAAAGTTTTGCAAATAAATCAAACAACATGCAATATGTGGTTAAAATGGTTATTTTTTAAAATTGTTAACATTGTTTTAACACAGAAGTTAGATCATTTTAGATAATCTACTTTTTTTGTTGTTGAATTTTGAAAATTCTTATATTTATAATTATATTTATTATTTAAAATTCTTATATTTATTAATGTTTGAAGATTAATAAATTATGAATTAATTTTAATTTTTAATGAAATGATTTAAATGGTTTCAAGTAATTAAATTTTATAAGATCCCTTTATTTACTGCATAACATCCTTTGATTAACAATTTATTTACTAATTAAAGATTAAAGTTACTAATCCAGGCCTTATAAAAATAAGATTCCTTTTTTACTATAAATTGTCATAAATTTAATGAGTTATGAGATTAAGATGTTATTTAATGAGAAACAAAAAATAACTGTTAATATTAGTATCAAAATCATTTAAGTGTTAAACTTCAAAAATTTTTCGAACATATTCAACTTTCAGCCCGCATGAAATCGAAGTTGCGCGTCCCGGTATTTTAGTAGTCCCTGTATATATATATAAATATGTATATGTGTTTATGTATATATGTATGCGTGTGTGGGTATGTGTGCATGTGTGTATATATATATATATGTGTGTGTGTGTGTGTGTGTGTGTGTGTGTGTGTGTGTGTGTGTATGTACATGTGTATGCGCACGCGTATGCACGTATGTGCGTGTGAATGCGTGTGCGTGTGTGTATATATACATGTTCTTCACATTTTGGATGTTTTTGTGTTTGCGTCATGGCCTACTTTATAGAAGGCCTCGACATCGTGCGGGAATTTTTTTGACTGAAGGCCGATTTAAAAATAAAATAGCGGTTTATTAAAAGAGAAAAATGTACAGCTTTGCTAACACTAATTATTTAATAACTAATTATTCTATTTAAAAAAAATTTTGGATGCATTTTCATAAAATGAGTTTCTTGACGTTAATTTGACAACTATTTTATAAGATTAAATAGTTTGTAAAGTTGATTAGAAACATTTTAAATCAAATTTTTGAATATACAAGAAATAATAAATAATCAGAAAAATACACCAATAACAAATCTAATTTTTTTTGTACTAAATCTTCCCAAAAAAAAATTACATAAGCTTGATTTCTTTTAGTTTTGCTTCTTTATTACTTTTGGGAGTGTGAAGTAATGCAAAGTTCTTTAAAAAAATGTTTGCTAGTGTTTGGCATTGTTTCTTTGCAATAGAAAAACTACATAACTCTGCAATAAAAGCAAACTGTCGTATCAGAAATGTTCTGCAAACTTTTTTATCTAATAAAGGAAAAAATATGTAACAAAATAAAGACCACTGAGATAGAGTATCAGATGGAATAGTTAATCCTCCCCTATTTAAAGTATTCAAATAAGTTCCATATTTTTCATAATATGTAGTTGTATCTTCACCAATTTCTTCAGTAGAACACTTTTGAACATAACCAGCAATATAGACAATAGCATAAAAAATTTCTATATTTATACTATCTTCTAGATCTGGTAAATTGTAAATTATATCAATTTCCATATCATCTAAATCTTTAAGACTTTAAAGATTTAGATGATATGGACTTTAAAAGATGGACATAGTCATATAAAATATGAGCCATTTTGACATAACCAAGGTTTTCCGTCTACGGTTTTGAAATTAGAAAAAAAGCTTTGATTAACTTTATTTCCATCTGTAATAATTGCAATAACTTTACCATTACTCGTAGAACTTTCTATGGTGTCTACAATTAATTTGCACTGTTCTTGTTGGAAATCTGATGTCGGATTACTAACTGGTAAAACTCTTGCTAGAAATTTAGGTCCACCATAAAGGCTTTTTACCATGAATGAAAGTACAGTAGTAGCTAATTTCTCTGGATTATTAACAGCTTTTCCAAAAATACTTCCACTTTGATAAAATGATGCTGCTTTTACATAAACTTCATCTATCAATAAAACACAATTTCTTTTCTTTTCATCAAGGTTCGATAACACAGAAATTAAAAAAATTAAATCATCTTGAGGGTTTATTTTTGAAGTTATGCGTGTCAAAGTTCGAATACTTGGCAACTGATAATCATAACATAATCGATGGTAAGTGGGACGACTTGTTGCAAAATATTCAAAAGCTCTGGTTATTATATCTGGAGAATACACAGCACAGCCAACAGTATGATCTCCCATTACATTTAAATGCTCAAACATTACTTGAGTTTTATGATCCTTATCTTCAACTTTCAGATATCTAAGGGCTTCATTTAAAGATGACTTAGTACAAAGGAAAGTGATTCTGTTATTTGCCAGAGATTTAATAGTACATTTTGAACCAAAATGAAATGCTTCGAACGACAAACTTTGATTAATTATTAGCAAAAATAGTGGAACACCACAACTAAATATTTTAGATTGGATGAAAATTGAATTATTTTGCTTGTATGAAATCAAATCATTATAAGTTGATAAGTGTTTTTCGATTTCTTCAAATTTATATTATCAATTATTTTATATTCTTTTAATTCATCTTTTCTGATACCTCTTTTTGAAGAAGAAGATAAAGTTTTTCTCGTTTTATATGGTGGAGAGGATAGACAACTTTTAGATATATTTGGAAACACTGATGGAGGATGAATCGGTCTCAATTTACCACGACATAATTTAAACTCTGCATCATCTGGCCAATGCAATTTACAAACAACGGTGTATTTTGTTACGGTCCAATTTAAACGAGGGATGCTCATAAACCATTTAGTTTTTTCACATACTTCACGAGGGAATTTATACACAGATACATTACAAGCTGAAGACTTATAATTTGAGGAACTGTTTGGAACACAACATTTTAAAGGCATTCTAAATAATTTAAATTAAATTTACTTGAAGAATAGCTGTAAATTTTTCTAATATTTTACTCCTTTTCCAACCAAAAAATGCGTTTGTAACAGTTTTAAATCGGCCTTCAGTCAAAAAAATTCCCGCACGGTGTCGAGGCCTTCTATAAAGTAGGCCATGGTTTGCGTGTTTATATGTATTTGTATGTGTATAAACATGTTTATGTGTGTCTATGTATATACATATATATCTTATGCACGCACCCCTCAACCCCAACCCTCTAAAAATAGCTATTACGTACCACTATACAAAGAAAGCACACATACTATATGTGTGTGTGCTTATATCTGTATGAGTGTGTTTATACATGTGAACATATGTATTCACACATACATGTATATATGAATAGGCACTCTCGTACCAAATCCCCCTCTAGTTTCAATACTCTAATTTACATATTAATCTGCCCTCACAACACCAAACTAAGCCGTGGGAACATATTATATTGGTCGATACTACAAAGTATCACCATATAATACTCGACACGCACACCAGGTGAAATAGGAGACTCCTCGGGTATGATTTCATCACCCACCAAAACCTCACGTGGTAACTAAGCTGTAGGCCATGGAGTTGTTTTAGTACTTTAACTTCTTCGAAACAAGCTTAGACATTCCAAAATGGCCCTGACGAGATGAAGGTTTGTTACATACTACAACTTTTGATCATTATGATGACCTCAACCCCAAACTCCGCTCGCGCGGCACCCTCCCCGCGATTTATTTACTTCTATATAATTACAATAATTTTTACTACTAATTTACTACTAATTTACTTCAAGTTGACTATTTTAATCACTTAAGCTTTATAGCATACTTATTGTGCGTATCGGACATATATTATACACTTTGTATGGTATATTTTAGACATACATAAATCTCTCTATAAATTATAAAATGAACTTATTAGATTACCCAACTAGCATCATACTGCTACGACCATAGCACCACTGAACCAAACTGTTGCTATGACTGTACTGCACTCGCCAAATAGAGCTTACAAAAATAGCAACAAATCCCACGCCACAACTGTGTTGCTATAACTGTAATCGCCAAATAATGCTTACAAAAGTAGCAACAAACCCCACACTTTTGTTTATCTTATAAACATATGTTGTAAAACATGTTTTATAAAATAATTCTAACACCCCGCAATCCAATCTCTAGAATCTAAAACCCACCAAAAGCAAAAATTTTCACTAGGCCTTAAAACCTAACTAAAATTTACATAATTTACACGAGGACCACCCATGTAGATAATCAACCCCACGTAATTCCATATAGAGGGCACTAAATTTTAAAACCCGTAACCCAACTGTTTAGAACATCAAATGGGAGTAAAATAAATTCTAAATTCCACTAAAGCGATATGAATTTTAAAATATAAACGGGGTATAAATTGAATAGCTATAAATTGAATAGCTCAGGAGGCATTGCATATAGTATAGTAAAACGAATATGTACACTATAAAGATATCAATTATAAAATAAAAGATATGAATAAAACAAATATTTCCACTAAAAAAATAGTAATTATAAAATATAAACTGTGGATATGACTAATCAACCTATACCTAAAGCAGATAAAACGAAATGACAAAATGAAAATACAGAATGACGATAAAAGCCTAAAAAATAAAAAGCGACAATGTAATAAAAAACAGAATAAGCTTGTCAGAGAAAAACAAATACGGAAAAGGAAGGAAAATAGAACTTGAATAACAGATAAGACGAGACAAGTTAATTGGAAAGATTACGATTAAAAAGAACATAATAATATCAAAACTAACTCAGACGGAAAATCAAAGTATTTACGAACACACAGATTCATACAAATAAAGGACATTAAATGACATATAAAACTTTACCATTTAGAACACTGCAAACACGAAGCACAATAATTTACACAAACTTACAGAACACTAAAACAACACTTACGTAAATCTAACTTAAACAACACTCACTTAACTCTAACTTAATCACTGAATAATACTCCCCTCTTAAACACCACCTCTCAATACTGGACACTACCCTATTAAACACCATTTCTCAATACTGGATACCTACTCAAATATTATAATCTATCTAGCACTCCCTTGCACGTATATAATATATCTTTCCCATCTCTTAAGACTATCACAACCTCATGGTTCCATATAAGTGGTGGAACTTGAATAACTTCCACTGCAAAACAGTAGTATACTTTTTCTGTAAGTAACTCTGCGCGTACATTCCTTATTATATTAT